CCCTTCCTGGATTTGGCATTCTTCCTTGGAAGGGTGGGTTCATATGAATCCCAGATTCGATTTACCTCAGAGTGAAATACAAGCCTCTTCTATTGTGTGATTAAAATGGTCCTATGCTTCCCTAAGTACTCTTGGTTTTCAATGGAATGTGAACATTCTTGGTAAGAATACTGCTAGATTCATATGCATCCAATGCTATGGCTGGATATTTAGTTACATGGTGTGCAGACTTTGGCCAAAAGCTGAAGTGGCTACTTATCTATCATAATGAAGTTCACTGCCAATATTTTTCTGCATGATAAGGTCAGTAACTTTAATCGGATGGGACTCTAACCCATATGTGATTAGAAGGGAAAATAAATATGTTACTATAATAATATTCTGTTTTTGTATTTTTTGTATGCCCTTTTTCCTTTTGTTAGATTAAGACCTTCTGTCAATGCATGGTAATAATAGTTAACTATTTATTGAATGTCTAGTGCATGGTATAAGACATATTACTTTACTTATCTCTAATCTTAAAAAGCTCTGAAAGGGAAAAAATATATATCATCCCATATTTTAAGATAAACTGAGATGCAGAGAAGATAAATAACCTAGCCAGGATTTATACACATTGTATGTGCTAGAGCCAGAATTCGAGCATAGGTACTTCTGGTTTTAGAGTTTCTATTTGTTCTTTGACTTATCAAAGTAAACTTCATATAGATAGCTTAGCCTTACAATAGAGTTCACTAGTACCTTTTGAGCTGCATCTGCTGTTGTATTCTTTGAGAAATTTTTTAATTTTTCACAAATAAATTTTTAGATGAAATTGTATGCTAGGAAATTATTATTCATTTGTGAATAAAATTTCTTTATTTAAATTGACTTGTATGATGACAAAAGTGTGAGATTTTAAGATCAAAGGCTTAGATTTTGATCTTCAAATCTTAGTTTTTCATTTTTCAAATAGGGATAATACTAAGTAACTATGTTGTTGAGAGGATTAAATATGATAATGTACATGAAAGTATTTTGTAACCTACAAAGGTTATAGATGTTGTTAAGATTAATGTAAAGAAGAGCTTTCTTCTGTAGACCATTTGTTCATTAAATATCTATGGAGTACATGTCTGTAGAAGTGGCACGTCAGGTGGTAAGGATAAAGCAGTACACAGGTAGACAAGGGCTCTCTCTCATGAAATTAATACTCTGCTTCCGCACTGTCCGATACAATAGCTTGTAGCCACGTCTGACCATTGAAATTTAAATTATTGAAATTAAGTACAATTTAAAATTCAGTTCCTCAGTCACACTAATTATATTTCAAGTGCTCAATAGCCTCATGTGGCTAGCAGCTACCATGTTGTACAATGTAAATATAGAACATTTCCATCATTGCAGAAAGTTCTGTTATAAAGCTCTGCGTGGGAGAAGCACACATTAAACAACTAGTTAGTTAAGTATTTGATTCACTTGTGATGAGTACTTTGAAGGAATAGTCAAATCAGAGAAAGTAATGTTTGTGCTAAGAACTAAGGGATAAATAAGAATATTCTAGGTAATGCGGGAGTGTAGGAAGGAAGGAATGAAGAATATTTGCAAAGACACTGATGCAGGAAGAAGAGAGGGACTGAGACCCCAGAAAGGCCTCATGTATACAGAGCCTGTGTGGCCAGGCCAGCTGTACTTGGAAGGAATGGTCCGTCCTTGATTGCAGTAAGAGAAACAAAGGAGAGGATGAGCGAACTGCGGGTAGGATTGTAGATTTTGTGGCAGAAAGTGTAGGTTTTTTTGTTCCAGTAGCTTCCATTTTCTCCGTGAAGTATAAGATCTTCTTATGAAAGCCAGAGAGGAAAAGGAAAGGGTGGAATTTTGAAGAGAGTGGGGAATATATGAAGCAAATCTTTGTGGAGAGTGAGAGAATGAGCACGCTAGATAGATTTAGTAAGACCTTGAATCAGTAGTCATACAGTCTTTTGCTTGGTATGACTTTTTCTTGGGTTCAGGAATGGAAAAGCTTGGCAGTTGTTTTCATTAATCTGGCTAAATAAATTAATGCATGCAAGGCACTTGAGAATGGTACCTCAGGCATAATAAGAGCTAAACAAACATTATTACCACTGGTGGGGTTTGTCTAATAGGAGTGACACACAGAAAACAACAGAGAGAGAATGCATTATAGGACGTTTGCAAGAAAATGACTATACTGATGTCCTGTGGAATCTAATATAGATAAAAATGGAAGTAAGACAACAGGTGGATGTTACATAGGGGAAAAGTGAAGAGATCTGGTGAGTAACTGTAGGTGCATGCTCATGCAAGTAAGTGGAAAGGAGAGAAGGATTGCTCAGAAAGTGAGGTGCATGAAACCGAAGCAGTGGCTACAGAGCAGTATTACACACAGTCCTCCGACTGAGGAACCTTACAGTCTCGGCAATATATGGCATTTCTTGGTGAAAAGCAAATAAGTGCTCTATTGTCTAATGACATCGACACTGGAAGGCAATCCCTAAACTACCTGTAAACTAGAACACAGGTAGTTCAACGTTCTGAGAGTTTACAATGCTTGTAATATCCAAGCCTACTTCGAAGATTTAAATCAAAATATGAGAACCTGTTCAGGTTCTTGTACTCGTTTTCTCTGCCATCATCCTCTCGCCTTCTCCCTATCTCCAGTTCTTTTCTAATTTAAGGGTCACACAGAAACTGATGGTATCAAGTTGCTCTGGCAAATCCTGTGGATGGGTCATACTGCCCTCTAGTTCTATTTTGTGCCATGAGGAGTAGATTGGTGGTGGTGAACATGAAGTATAATAATACCAGCCTTGGGAGTTGTCTGTTTTTAATCTCTCCTCAGGTGCTCTGCGAAGCATTTTCATATACTATACTGAAAGTAACTTGTGTTTCTTTCATGTTCAGGAAAATGAAATATTATAGTCTAACTCATTAATGTCATTCTCTCCTTTCATTTCGAACTAAAGGCTTCAGCGATTAGCCAAAGATCTTCTAAAACAACTACAAGTACAAGACAGTGGCTCATGGGCAAACACTAAAGTTTCTGCTTTAGATCGGACTCTAGGTGAGATCGCTAGAATATTGGAAAAAGAGGTATGTAACTAATCTCTGACTTTTGAATCTTAATCTTTGTGGCCCTTTCTCACTATGACAAAACTAGGACTATACAACAGAATTTCAGTGTATACTGAAATGATATGTTTTCTTTGTTTTCAAAAGCCAGTCAACAATGGATGGATGTTTTTTACTTTTGTTCCTTTAAGTTGTTTTCAGTTGTTTAATCAAAACTGTTTCCAGTTTTTTTAATTGAAGTCCTCTTTAGGTCATGGTTTCCTCAGTCACGTTTTTCCCCACACAAACGAAATGAAATTCTTTAATCAGGAATCACAATAATAAAAATATATGATTTTATGGCAGAATATTTAAAACTTTCAGTTATATAGCTTATAAATCACAACCAGTTTTCTACAAAACACCGATTTGCCTGTTTCCAAGAGATTTGGCAGTTTTCTTTAATGACTTAGAGGCATTAAATGTCTTGATTACAGTTAAAAAATCCTTAATGATTTTAAAAGTATTATTCACAATAGAAAAATCTTACGTAAACAAAGAAGAAATAAAACTCTCTGTAAAATCAACTATTAACATTTTATTGTATTTTCTTCTAATCCTTTTATTGTACATTTTTTATATTATCTGGCTAATTTTACCATAAATATTTCTCATGTCTTTAAAAATTCTTTGTAACTGAATAAACATATCATAATTTACGTAATTTATAACAATTCAGTGGTTTCCAATTTTCTATTTAAGGTAATGGCCATTTTGTTTATTAGCTGCATTTTTTGTTTTTTGTTTTCTGGGCTTAAAATTTATTGTGTAAAAATATTTGACTTATTCAAAAGAATATGGTAATAAAAATAACATAAATACAATGAACAGCCATGAACTCACCACCCAACATGAGTTAGACTGTTACCAGTGCATTTACGGTTCCCAGGGTGATCCTTTCTTACCCGCTCCTTGCCCCTTCTGAGGTGAATGCATTGCAGAATTAAAGGCATATCATTTCTTTCTTTTTTAAAAAAGGCTTTATTACTTTATCACATAAATGTATTGTTAAATAGTTATTTAGTTTTACTTATTTTTGACCTTTATCAAATATCATACCATAGACTTCTGCTATTTTTTTCAGTCAAAATTATGGTTATGAATTTTATTTAACCTTATAGAGCTATTTTTCATTCCTTTTCTCTATGGTATAGTTAGTACTAAACATATTACAATTTTTTTATCCATTTTCCTGACAATGGACTTTTTAGGGTAGGTGGGGGGACGGCGTGTGTGAGAGACACAGAGAAAGAGACAGAAAGAGAATGTGTGAGCATATCCACAAACATTCTTGTTTCGCAGTAAATGAGCAAGCATTTCTTTAAGGCAGGGAGTTCTCGGACTGTAGTATGTGTCAGAGTCGCCTAAACACAGATTGCTGGGCCCCTACCCTGGATTTCTGATTAAGTAGGTTTAGGGTGGGTCCCAAGAATTTTTATTTTCAACGAGTTCCCAAGTGATGCTGATGCTGCTGGTCCAAGGGCCATGTTTCGAGAATGACTGCTGTGTCCAGGGCATGTGCTTCGGGCATGGAATGGCGAGGCTCGCAGGCAGCTGAATGGCCAGCTTTACAAGATGGTGCTCGGCTGCATTTTGGCATCAGACAGTGCAGTCCTCTGTAGGAATCGAGAGCAGCAGAGGCAGTGTGGCACCCTGGCAGAGTTCTAAGGAGTCAGTTCTCCTGTATAACACATCCCTTTCAGGGCGTCGGAGATTTAGGAACTGGTAGTTTTCAGACATTTGCCAGATGGAGTATTTAGAGGTTTGATGTGCCTTGGTAAAAATCTCTAATCTTTATCAAAATTAGTATATACCAATTATTTTTGTAAAGTATAGAGGGTACTTATACTTGGAATTAAAAGGCAATTGCTTAAAGATACCACTATGCCCACCTTATCTCATTAATACTGTTTTAGATTGAAGTAATGACAGAATTTTTGAGGAAAAAGTAGAATGATCTATATAAGAAGGGTATTCAGTATGAAAATCTAAGTAAAGTTATTTCATTCACAAAGGGACAATTTACTGGAATACCACTGATTCCTTATAATTTCAGGAAGAAAAATGTCTGGCTCCTAGTCTAAATGGTCTGTGTCAGGAACCTTGCTGTAAAGCTGTCCTCAGAGTATACACTGGAGGACCACCTAAGAGTTTAAACTTACCTACAGTAAGATCTTTTTGCCACTTTTATAACTAAAATCCTTTTTACCTAGCCAAAACACACTTAATTTATGAAGACTTCTGTAGAGTCATACTGACATTTCAGTGTAATTCAGCTGATGATATTTATGATTTCAGTCTAGGAATTACAAATAACCATTGCTTTTTGTTTGGAAAACTGCCTGGAGTAACAAAATCATTAGAGCCAAAGCCAAGTACCCAGTGAAGGATTTGAAGGCAACCTAGAAGTGACAAGGGTGGGACTAGTGGAACTTGGGCAAGCACTCACGAAGGAATGGTGATAGATGAGTCTTGAGGTCTTTCTTAACTTAATTTAGACCTCAAAACACTGATGCTTTTTCTTATTGCTTTGACACAATTTTCCCTTAGATAATTTTTCTAAAGTTCTGAGAACTACTTTAGAGCTAACAGGTTAAAGTTATGATGTACAGAAATGCTCTTGTAACAGAAGAGATCAGGAAACTGAGGAGACCTGGGTTTTGTCGTACTTACCGTGTATCTCAGGTACCTCTGGCTTTTTAGGTTCTCTGATTCCATTCAGCAATAAAAAGTTTGTAAGCTTTGTTGCATGTGTTATGCTTTTTAAAATCTTTAGCCACTTCTGTTTACAGACATGTCTTGATCTACAGTACTTGCACCAGCTCTCCCAACAAAAACATCTGAAAATGCTGGGGGCGGGGTGAGGAAAGCAATTTTCTTAAAAGCATCCAAGAGCTAAGAAGAAATTAAACAATTACCAGGCCAAAGGAAAAAGAGCCAGAATTTAGGAAGTTGTATTTATAACTGAATTTTCCCAAAAGTATTTGCCAAACTGGCAAATGTGGGTTTTGATTTGCAAGGTTCATGGGGTAAAGGGACAGAAGTAAAATCCTAAGGGATGCCTAGGGCCTGAAGTCTAATAGGAGAGTTTCCTTATTTCCCTTCCGTAAAGATAAGACCACAACACCCTACCCCCTCACATAACCATGAACCCTCTCATCCCACCCCCAGAACTATGAAGAAAGAACCTTGGCACAGTGAAATCCAGCCCTGGCATGGATTTACAGCTCAAATTCACATCATCTGTATCATTTCAAATGATGAATTGAGTTTCAAGTAGTCTCAGGTTGATTAGTGGTGTCTTAGGAACCTGGCAGAAGGGAATGCAAATACTCATTGGAAAAAACACCTTCATCCTAAGGCCTCAGATAATTTCTGTTAAATAATTTCACCAGGACAAGTAGCCATAGTCTAAAAAAAAAGCACAAACGTAAATAAGTCATGGTGAATAAGAACAAGCAGAAACTAAAACTGCAAGCCTTTGTATTTACTAGTCACAGATTATAAAACTGTGCTTGCTTTCTTTAAAAGTAAAAGGCAAGCTTGAGAATATCTACAGGAATGGATTTAGGAGTAGTGATGAGTAGGTAACTCAGAACTGTCCTCCTGCTGTTGACAATAAAACTAGAAACATAAAACTGGAACTGAATTGTTAACAAAGTAGTGAATAATTGCTGAGCCAAGATCTAGGAATTTGACATTTTGGTCTGAGTACCACTGGCAATCCAAAAGAGGCAGATGAGAAGCTAAGTAGTACTTTTGACATTGCTGCGGAACTGGTGGGCAAAAATGTTTGCCTCTAGGACTATCAACCATGGGGGCCATGGCAAAAGACCCTCATATTTTGGTTTGAAATCTTAAAGCACTGTACAAGGAGAGAGGGTAACAGGAAGTACACCAGTCATTGCACAGATAGCAACTCAGGGTCAGATCATCTGGGTAGCTGTGAGAATCCAAGTCACTGTAAAAAGATTAAAATGTTCTTGAATTCCTGCTACTCTAGATGCCTAACAGAAGCAAATAGAAAATTTACTCTGGAGAAAGATAATAGCAACCAAAGTTTCAAAGTATTTCAACAAAATAATTTTAAAATGCAGTGCTTGCCACACCATAAGGTAATTAGGCATACAAAGGGGTAAGACTACATGAATAAAAACAGACCTACAGAGGCTCCAGAACTATGCTTCCCATGTTTAAGGGTATAAGTACTAGTTATTTTTTAAAAGACATGTAGCACATTTGAGAGAAAATAAAAATTTGAGTACTGAATATTTTAATAGTCAAAATTAAGAAAACTATAGATGAGGAAACAGCAGAATAAACCAGCTAGAGAGAGAATCACCAGAGAGATACACAGGACATTGGAAACCAAGAAGGGAGAAGGGTGGAAGGGGAGGTGTGGGGTAAAAACTTACCTGTTGGGTACGGTGAATACTATTCTGGCAATGGACATGCCAAAAGCCCTGACTTAAGCATTATACAAGATATCCATGTAACAAAAACATTTGTACCCCCTTAATATTTTGGAAAGAAATAAAGAGAATCAGTGTACTGGAAGATACATCATAAGAAAGAATCCAGATGGAGCATGGGAGAGAAAAAGATACAGAAAATACAAAAAAGAATGTAAAAGGTATATAATATGTAGTGAAAATGTCTAACTTATGTATAATTAGAAAGCCCGGAGTACAGAAGAGGACAGAAATGGTATTTGAAGTGATTACCACGTAGAAGTTTTCAAAACTTGTAAATTAGTCTACAAATTTAAGAAATCCAATGAAGCCCAAGCAGGGTAAATAAAAAGAAATATATATCTACAAACATCATAGTAGAACTAAAGAAAATCAAATTATAAGCCAATCTCATTTATGAACTTGGATTCAGAATCTCTAAACAAAATTCTAGCAAACTAAATCATGCAATATGTAATAAGATCAATACATCTTGACAAAGTTGGACTTATCCAAGATATTCAAGTTTCGTTTAACATTAAA